TTTTTTTTAAAATCATTTTTGTTGAAAGATATTTTATAATATATGTAAAAAATAAAAATAAAAGTTAAAAAAATTAAATACGAAAAAATAAAATGAAATTAAAAAAAATTATATTTATAATTCATTAAAAAATTTATATTTATAATTTATTATGAATTAAATGAAATTAAAATTTAATATTCCATATAGTAAAGATTTAATTTTTACATACACACACACACACACACATACATACATACATACATACATACATACATACATACATACATACATACATACATACATACATACATATATATATAAAATTTTTATTTAATTTTTTTAATTTTAAAAAAATATATTTATGATATGATATTTAAAAAAATTGTAAAATAAAATATACCATAAATGGAGGGATGTCCTTTTATGTAATTTTATTTACAAACAGCTAACTATAAACAGCTAAAGTTGCCAAACACTTAAAATTTAACTGCTAACAGAAACAGCCGGTCAAAACAGCTAACTCAATCATCCATTCAAATCAGCTAACATAAACAGCCAACAGCCAACTGCTAGTATCCAAACAAGGCCAAAAGTAGAAATTTATAAGCATTAAAAAAATAGTAAATATTTATAAACAGAAATTTATAAGTAGGTATATCCAAACAAGGCCAAAAGTAGATATTTCGGTTTTTTCGGTTTATAAAAGTAGAAATTTATAAGCATTAAAAAAATAGTAAAAACACTAACTCGATGAAACAATAACAATATGTAGTGTGAGCTTTGGTTTTTGGTTTGATTTTTACACAAAAAACAAAAACCAAACGGAAGGTCATTGTTCCTTTCGGTTCAATTTTACATAAAAAATATGTATTGAGTGCTCAACAAACATTTAGAAGATTCCAAATACTTCCAAAGAAATCGTATGTAAAATCAATTATGAAGAATTTAGGTTTTTTGGTATAATACTTTCGTTTTCATTATAACATCAAAGTATTTCTTATGTAAATATGTAAATTACTCGTATCAATTTTTAATGTTAATATAATTCTATTTTAGGATTAGCTATTGGTGTTTATATTCTTAGGTTTTTTCAAAGTTTATAATAATATGGCTAGAATGTTTAATTAATAGTTAAGAAAATAATTTTAATCGACTAGTAATTTATTTGCGTTTATATTTCTATATTTTTTTTTATATTTCTAGAATTTTTTTACATATTACATATATTCATATAAATAAAGCGAAGTATCTAAGAAAGTTCGGTTTATTCGGTTCGGTTCGGTTTTTAAAAGTGAAAACTAAAACGGAACCAAACACTAACGGTTCGGTTTTTTTACATTCAGTTTCGGTTTTTTCGGTTTGGTTTTTTTTCTAGCTCGTTTCGATCGTGTATATATATATATATATATATATATATATATATATATATATATATATATATATATATATATATATATATATATATATATATATATATATATATATATATATATAGTGAAATTTGCACTAAATAGGACTAAAACATAATGACTTTTCTAATGTAGGACTTAAACTTTTTTATTCCCTAGATAGGACTTAATAATGACCTAATTGAAGGAATAATGTCCAGTAATGATGGACATTTAGTTGAATAATGACCAAAGGTACTACATTGGGAAATAAAAACATATGGTCTTATATTGGGAAAGTCATTATTTTTTAGTCCTACTTAGATAAATTTCTCATATATATATATATATATACTACGTATATAATTGCATGTTAAGCGTGTCGACGTCGTAGTCAATATTAATTCCTTTATGAATTAATATTGACTAAAACACATAGATAAGGAAAATAAGGGCCGAATCCACTAGGAAAGATACTCTTTAAGCTATGAAAGTCAATTAACTTTTTCACTTTAATTTAAAAAATACTCCGTAACTTAATAAAACTGAAAGATATGAGACTTAATAAATTTAAAATGATAAAATATAAATAAAATAAGGACAAAGATAACAGATAAGAGAATGGAACCAGGACATGAAGCTTAGAAGTATCCAGGGAGAACAAACACGCCAAAATATCACACAATAAACTTTATATATATATATATATATATATATATATATATATATATATATATATATATATATATATATATATATATATATATATATTTATATTTATATAAGTTGAAAATTTTTACAGCATGGAAGAATAAGAAATTTGGGTTTTTAAGAATGAAAAATTTGTACTAAATAGCACTAAACTTAAGTCATTTCTCTAAATAACACTTAAATTATTTTATTTTCTAAATATCACTTAATAATGTCCATAATGTCCAGTGATGACCAACATTTACTTAAATAATAACAATT